GATTTATCGCATTTCCTTTTTAACAATACTTTGTTGATTTATAATATCATTGATCAATGTTGGTATAATAAGGTATGGGTGGTGGTGTACACTTAATAAAGAAAGGAAATACAAATACGAAATAAGGTTATTACGATAATTGTTATTGACTTAATAATAAATTGTGTATATAAGTGTTACTTAAAAAGAATTGGCTTTTATATGCGGATAAGTCACGTGTTACCACGTAACTATCCTTACGTAATAACATTTTAATATAATGATTAATTAACATTTAACATTATTTTTAATAAATAAATTAAAATATTTTATATTATTTTATATTATTTATAATAATTTTTATAAAAAGTTAATTTTTTTCGTAAAATTTTTATAATATTTATTAAAAAAGTTACGGCTATATATAATTTAAATTATATTAAATATAATACGTGGTTTATGTTTTAAAATCAATTGTTTTTTAATAAATGTAATATATTAATATATTAGTTTTTTTCGGTTTTTAACCGGTAAATGATAATATTCGTTTAAAATAAATTTAAAAGTTTATTAATTTAAACGTATATAATAAAATCAAATATTTATTATTAATATATCCGTTTAATGTTTACATATTCGGTGTTAATAAAATGACATAATTATTAAGATTTTACCAAGTAAATTGAAAGTACTTTTTAAAAGACTGTAAATCTAATTTACGACCGATTTGCGATAACGTGAAACGGGTTATAAAGCGAAGTTAACCGACGCTTATAAACGTGTATTTAATCCAATTCTGACGAAAATTTACCATATAAACATGGACAGACTACAGGCAGCCAGTCAGTTGTATCATAGTTTCATACGTGGCTTTATTCTTCCTACATTCGCTATGATAATGCCATTTTTTGGGTAGTAGAGGTGGCATTGATAAGTTGTTTTCCTATCGATGCACTTATCTTACAGGCCCAGCGCAGCAGGACAATAGAACCCTACATGAATCCTAAAACCCAAACGCATAAATACCTGATATTATTCGTGTAAGGAAAGCCGCTATAAGAGAGATGATTGGGAAAAAGTTACATATCTCATGTAAATTGGTATAAAAAATAGTAAAGTCAAATAGTAAAGTCAAATTTGGCTACTAAGAGAAAATTAACTACCTCCTAATGGAACTCCAGGTGTTAGCATCTGGTGAATAAAGGTTAGGCTCTGTAACCCCTCCCCCTCACCTGCTTACATAACAGCATAACAGGTACCTAGATACTTGGTGGCTCATGATCTGATTCTGATTCGGTGAGGTGTCGGATAGGACTAGGTGGTCCATGTATTCCGTCAAATCCGCCCAATAGGTGGTCCTAGTTTGCTGGCAAGCCTCAAACTAGGTAATAGCTTAAAAAAACATGCCCGTTCCGATAAACTCATACCTACAACGACCGTCGCATCAACTCTCCGGGTACAACGTTGATCTAATTCCCTAAGGCGAATCATCTCACTTTCACAACCGCGAACCTATTCCTTCTGATATCGTGGGTGACTTTTCTATCGCTGCCCCATTGCCGTATTAATAGAATTGCATGGCTATTCCAGCCGGGAACGCATTTTGCACGCGTCCGTCGCCTCTTTCGCGATCCACGTGGTGGTGATACATCATAACAACGATCAGTAACCAATACTGAACCAAGTTTGGTGCTGCCTTACTAAGTTTCTGCTCATCACTTGTTTTCCTATCTCTGCGCCTCATAAAGCCCTTTCGATTATTTTTTTTGTATAAGGAATTGTTCAAGCCCACAAGATACACAAGATAAAGATACACAAGATACTATCAGACCGATTATCAATAAGCACGAGGCTACGACAGAGCCACTCGATGGATCCTTTCTCTCCGGCCCAAGAACCTGACGAGGGTTATTCCGAGCATCCCCTTAATCCCTCCGATTCAGGTAGCCTTACCAGTAATGCGTCGCTGACGGCGAAGCGACCAGCTGCCGACATACCGGCATGGCTGTCGGCTCAATTACCTACACTGTCGATACACCAGAAGACTCGTAAGTCCGCGAGTTCGATTACCAACCCTATATTCCCCATAATTGAAATACTGTTACTACTCTAAATTTAACTCAATCCTGGCTATATTGTATAATTTGTTCCGCTGACATGACCTTTTTAAATATTTAGGACTAGCAATGTTAATACTCAACGAATTGCCTACCACCGTTATCGCCGACATCGTCATGAACGGACTAAACCCTCGCCTTTATATCAACTTCGTGGAACGCCTACCACCGGAGATATGCCTCAAAATCCTGGGTTATCTAGACCCTGTGTCGTTGATCCATGTTGCGATGTGCTGCCGGGGCTGGTACGATTTGGCTTTGGACCGCAAACTTTGGGAGCGACTGTTCTATTTAGAAGGGTGGAAGGCCATACCATCCGAAATCATAGCCGCAGAACAGAGGATGAATGAAACCCAAGTCCCGTCTCAAAAGATAGAATCGTTCGAAGACGGCCACGCGAATAAGAAACGAGCTGTATCGGAACCAGCAGCACAGGATGACGAAGACTATGATATGGTCGACGCTGATGCGGCCGTAACACAAGAGTCCGTGGCTGACCAGTACAATGTGAGTGTATTCTGCCCTTGAAGATTAGACTGGAGAGATGCATCTGTTGAGCAAGAACCGTGCCTAACCCGTCCGATAAGAGTACTTTCCACATTCGCCAGCCTGGGGAGAGTGGTTCGTCTGTTCAGAGCAACACTAGTGTTATCCAGCATATGGGTAGCCTAATGATGAAGTCGCCCAGCCCTATGCACGACCAAAGAGGGCAGTCTGCTCCCCGAGTATCGAAAGGCAAAGGCAAAGCGACTATCGAATCGCTTATTGAGACTACTTCTAGCTTGCCTAACCTACTGAAGTCTGCGCTTTGGATTTATGATTCGATTGATCGTAGATACAAAATTAACTGGAAGCATCTATATACGATGAGACGAAGGCTGGAACGCAATTGGGATCGTGGCCGATACAAAAATTTCCAATTACCCCATCCAGATCACCTAGATGAGGGACACAATGAGTGCATCTACAGCCTCCAATATAACCCGGAGTATCTTGTCAGTGGTAGCCGAGACCGTACGCTACGAATATGGAACCTACGCACCCGGCGCCTTATACGACCGCCTCTTATCGGTCATCAAGGATCAGTTCTCTGTTTACAGTTCGACTCAGATCCTGAGGAGGATCTAATTGTCTCTGGAAGTAGCGACTCGGATGTAATTTTATGGAAATTTTCCACAGGCGAAATCATCCAGCGACTGAAGAAGGCGCATAGGGAATCAGTTCTTAATGTCAAGTTTGACAAACGGATCCTCGTAACATGCTCTAAGGACAAGACGATCAAGATTTTCAATCGTGTTCCATTACGACCCGGCGACCTCGGATATGGCGGGTCCCAAGGTGTTAGCCCTGTACCGATAAATCTTAGAAATTTTGGTTTCGACGACTCGCCTATGAACCAAGCCGCTATTAAACCACCGTACACGATGATCGGATGCCTTGAGGGGCACGGCGCCGCCGTAAACGCTGTCCAGATTTGTGATCGCGAAATTGTCTCGGCGAGTGGCGACAGACATATCAAGGTGTGGGATTGGCCAAACCAGACATGCCAGAGGACTTTTCTTGGGCATAATAAGGGTATTGCCTGTGTCCAGTATGACGGTCGGCGTATCGTGAGTGGGAGTAGCGATAATGAAGTCAAGGTCTTCGACCGAGAAACGGGCCTCGAAGTTGCGAGTTTGCGGGCGCATGGCAACCTTGTCCGTACTGTACAAGCTGGGTTCGGTGATCTTCCTTATAGCATCGAGCAAGATCGGTTGGAAGCAAAGGCTGTCGATCAGGCATATTTTAAGGCTTTAAATGCTGGAAATCTCGAACAGGAGGTCCAGTCGTTGAGGCGTCGACCACATAACGCGGGTAGTCGCCGGCCTGAGGATATTACTGCATACGGGGCTACGCTTCCTCCCGGCGGCGGTGGCGGTCCTTACGGGCGAATAGTTTCCGGTTCTTACGACCAAAGCATTATAATCTGGCGGCGGGATAGGGAGGGTGTCTGGAAGAGCGCACATACGCTTCGCCAGGAAGAAGGCGCGGCGGCAGCCCTCAGGCAGACACCTTCTCGCTCTACCTCTAGAGCACCTCCTACGTCATCAGCCCTGCCTTCTACTCATAATCTACCAGCGACCCCCTCAAGCGCTCCACCAACGCAAGCACATCCGAATTTCACCCATGTCGAGCACCCTATCCTTGCTACCATCACCCCTCAAACGACTTCATCCTACACACAAATGATCGATGCTTGTGTCCCGCAGGGACCAGCAGCCCTCCAACAGGCGTTAGCCTCCTATCCGACCATGTTAACCTACCAATTTCACATACAATCGGCCATCAGTCGTGAACCTAACCCCATTATTCGCTCGCAGCTAAGACAAGTTGTTGGTAGTGCTGTAAATAGAGCACAACTTGCCCAAAGTCGCATCAGAGAATCCGTACAGCAGGCCCTTTCAGCAACTACGACCGCCGGGGAGACGTCGGCTCAGCCAGCCAGCCAGCATAACCCGTCCAACATTTCTACAACGGGGCACGCTACAACAAGCAACGGTGGCGGCCCTCCTCCTAACCTCACTAATATGACCACACCGCACACTCAGCTCCAGCCGCAGACTACAACGTCTCAAGCGCAAGGCCAAGTACAGGGCCAGCAACAGCAGCACCCCCATATCCCACAAGCAGATACAAGCCCCGCCAGAATTTTCAAGTTACAATTCGACGCACGACGGATAATTTGCTGTAGTCAGACAAGCACCATCGTGGGCTGGGACTTTTGCAACGGGGACCCAGAGCTCGAAGAGGCATCCACATTTTTTGGGACTGTAGAGTAGAAGCTTTCAAGGGTTGTATTGTTTACGGGATATATGTGTACATGACGATATGAGTATCGATATAGCGATATTGAACTAAATAGAGTATAATGGTAAAAACAGTGACCTTCCAAAACCCCTTGTCGCGTAAACTCCAATAACTCCCTTCTCCATCCACCTGGAAAGTAAGCTCGCTCGCTGGTCTCGTGATATCACCTCGCTACCTCTTGTACCTTGTTAGCCTCCGGGGGCTCGTCAACGAATTCAGGTACTTCGTCCCTCATGAAATCAGGCACGCCACCGGCCTCCATGCCCGCGCCCTCCATCTCCATCTCGGCACCTAGCAGCTCCAGCTCCGCATCCAGCTCGGCTTCGTCTACATCATCGGGGACCTCGTACCCGCGACTTAGGGTCTCGTTGATTTCGTTGCCGACGTCCATGAGATCGGCCATCTCGTCCTGCATGCGCTCGATCTTGTCGAGGTCGACCTTGCCGTACTGCTTCTTGAGCTCCTTCTGGGTAGTCTTCATGGCATCGACGGTGGTCATGACGCCGGCTAGGTTGTCCTGCATGGTCTGCGCCTGCTCCATGTTCCACACCTGCGACTGCAGCTGGTCGCGCTGCGACTCGTATTGCTTGCGCCGCTGGAGCACCTTGAGCGCCTTGGCTTTCAGCGCGGATTTCCCGGGGCCGTCGCGCATCTTGGCCATCTTGCTTTGGTACGTGCCTAGCTCGGCATTTAGGGAGGCGATTTTCACGTCGAAGGAGGATATGCGCCCGTCGATGTTCGATATGGCGGTGTTGAGGGTGGGCTTGGGCGCCTTGGGCGCGCTGCCGAAGAGGCGGTTCATGGTGGTGGTGGTGGGGTTGGATTGTGTGATCGGCTTGTTGGTTTTGTTTTTTTCTTTTTTTTTGAGGAAGGGGGGGTTTTGCGAGGGGTTGGAGGTTTTCTAGCTCGGGGACGCGAGTGTGTTAGGTTAGGTACTCGATATAGGGTTTATAGGCGGTCTTTTGCGGTTTAGATTCGTAAGAGGTAGGTGTAGGCAATTTCGTAGGTAAAGTTCCTGTATTAAAACGCGAAGGTTTAGCAGTTGCAGGCAGCTGGATAATGGCAAGCGGGATGCTTCAAAGGTTGCTTGGGCGACAACGTGAGCTTAGTGGGGCCGAGAGTGCAATGACGTCCCGAGCGTGTGTCAGCTGACTGTCAGGTGGCACTTCCTTCACAGCTGGTAGCTTACGAAGTAGTTAGACTCTTTAACATCAACGGCTTGAAGCTATAGGTACCTAATATTCTTAAGTGACTACCAAATTTCTGGATGACTTTCATGGTTTTGTCTGATAGGTGACTTATATGTCCTGACACTTGAGGAGACGTCAATCATCAAAATTTACCTTAATCTATGGTATATCTTAAAAGATTTGATGAGAAATAGACTTCATTGCTTTATCACAAGCTGTGTCTATATATACATTGTTGGTTAACATTATCCAATTGTCGTATCTAGCAGTCTTAGTTCTTCACTAAAATATTTTGCTCAGACAAGCTGCATTTTACACGCTTACTACTCCGAATACACTCCAAAGCATCACCAGTAAAAATAGATTACCCGATGTTCTCTTGCATGTTGGTGTACTAGGACTAGTTAGCTAGCCCTTCTTATATATCAGTGTCCGAAATCGTACCAAATATGCATTATCATGTAAGAATACCTAAGCATTTTAGGAATATTTGGGCGGTTATAGCGCATATACATATCTAATGCGTATTTTTCGAATCTACATTTCTGACTACATCTTCATATGCAGCTCTAGAGATGGCTTTCCGGCCGGAGCAATCTGATAACCAGAGGGACATGTGGTTGTTAAGGAGATTAATAACTACAGCTACTGTGATGGATAGCCGCTAGTTAGTGAAGATCTTGAGATTATCTATCTATATTATGAGCTGGTTACTTCAAAGGAAACGTGAGGTAAACATCATGACATGCTTATGGCTGGTATTCTATGGTATAGTCGGCTGTTTTGAAGTCATAATCGAGCCATTTCGCCGAATGTCAGGATTCTAGATGAGACATCTAGAACAAAGGACCTGTTCAATATGTATAGACGAAAAACCCTCATAGTTAGTCTAGAGTTCCTTGCAGAACAACGAAGTTGTTTCCATGCTGTTTCGTTTCACCTCGTGACACCGAATACCTGCAGCGAACATCGGAGATTCTGGTCTGTTCTGTTCGGACTGTGCCAATGTCACTTCTGCACACCCATGGCAAGTTGTAAATTTGAATTACAACCCAGTATTATGTCAAATTCGCGGAATTGACCCGCTGTATTTTATTGATTAATCAATTTTTACGATGCTATACAGTTCCATGTCTTGGCTTAATGTTGTGATACCTGTTAAAAATTGCAACATCGTGTCATCGCCACCCATAGGTAGTGAGAGAGAGCGTATGTGAGATATGCATAGAGTATTAATCATTACACTGGGATTCACGAGTCAACGTCCTACTAAAGATGTCTCAATTTGAGTCTTTCATCGGAGAAAATTGATGGTCTAGACTGGTCCTGTTGTACAGTTATTATGCCTCTTGGTTTCTGAAGAACCTGGAAATGTGGCGCTCGTGTTGTAATTTGCTTTTTATGGCATATGTAGAGCCCACGCTGATTAAGTCCTACCGGCCATGCATGTTTTGGAGCGCTTACCTCCACCAGCTTCATCTATACGTTTCCGGTCCGTCGGTAGGATGCAGGTCCAACTAATTCTCTTCCAATAACTTATGGTTCCGTGTCCTCGTGTTGTAACGACGTGGCTGCAGAGTGAGTACCTAATGTTCGGGGATCGGAAAGGCGTGGTCATGAATGGTTATGGGTGGCTACCATGCCGACCGAATAACGTGTCCAAGTAAGGTCCCGACAATAATGTCACTCAACTATGCACGTTTCCTGCAAGCCTATTGCTGATTGCTCAATGTCTTTTAACTAGAAAACTACATTTGTGCTTCCCCTCGACCGAGCTTCGTCTGTCAACCTTGGCATTTCTCAAGGCCTCTTTTGAGAGGTGGACCAAATATTTGGATGCTTTTCAATATCATACTTTCGAGATGGCGTGGAAGCATGTGATGTATCGTAAGTGACCTTTACGAACTGATAGCTCATCCTGACAGGGAAGATTACTTTCGTTATATGGCTAAAGAAAACCTTTCTCCCGAGCGCTTGCTATTTGAAAGTTAGCAACGCCACGCTTATGAGTTTCTTAAATTGGAACCGTTCCATACTCGAAGAATTACCTAAAGCGGTGGCATGAGAAGCCAGCTAGCCAGTTTAGTTCAGTTCCAGGTCTAATCAAGCGGAGGCAAATCCTCGTCCTCGATCCTAAGCACGAGTTGCTTACGCTCAGCCAGCCTTCAGCGTGGATTTCCTGCTTTTGAATAGTAGTGTGGGTGAATTACGCGGCGGGGACATAGTATAGTTAAAAGAATCGGTGCAGTATACCTACAGGATAACCAATTAGAACTCATAATTCGCTACCTACCTAATTATTAATATAATGAAACCTCTGTTAAACCCATTCAATATCTAGGTCTCTAAAGAGTCAATTCTTAATACAATCTGAAATGTCAATGAAAACTTCTATTACTTGCCTGCCGTCGGTTTCCCGGCATGGGTCTGTGCAATCCCCAACAGTCTAGATGCGAATAAGTCATGTTCTAGACCTTCTTCCGCTATTTTAGATCATGATAAAACAAGTTGGAATGGCACTAAAAGTTTAAAGGCGCGGATAGGTAAGAAACCGCTGAAACTTGAGAGGTTGTCAAGATTGGCTAGCCCTCATTATGAGGCTTACATGGATTCGACAGCTACCTAGGTACCTTCGCTACCAATCACGGGAGATGGGAAATAAGGCTAAATGCTTACTTTCACCAGTGCCTGATACAGTCCCGGAAAATAATCATGACGTTGCCATAAGATACATACGGTGTGACCACACGGTGACCAACTCATACAACTGTCCATCCCTATTTCGTGCAGGTCGACTTCGCCACCTACTGTTTGAAATTAAGAGCTATGATAGCAGAAGAAGCTTGGCCGTTATAAAGAATGTCGTGGAAAGTAAGTGCAGAAATTCTTCATTTAACTAATCTCGTTAATTATAACGGTTTTCTTGTGAATTCTTGTGAGATGGCAGATCACTACTCACTATAATCAAGTCAGAGATCCCGAACGGGTCTTCCCGTCCAAGATCATATCTGCAGCCTCGAATCTGGAGTACCTCGTGTGGGGACTCTTGCTAGGATGTTGAAGCTACAGCTCCTAAACTGTGTGGCTGGAATCTAGAGCCAGGTTATACTATAAAGGCTGAAGAACGAATTGTGTTGGTTGGATCAGGTAGGCTAGACTTGCTCGCTTGTGTTGCAGTGGCTTGCATGCGTTATAGAAAGCTGGATTAATTCTTTGGCTAAACATACGATTTATGGTCGCACGGTGAAATGAAGAGGTCATGTCGAGGAGCCGTGGCCGCTAGTCAGACGCCCTCGCGGAGCTTCCGACTGAACTTTCAGCAAGATCGAATAGATCGGAGAGAAATTTCGTCCATGACGGAACGCCATTCCAAAAAAGAAGAAATTAGGGTGCAGTGTCGGGGATAAACTAAGCGCCATCATGGAGCATTACGCATGACTACGCAAGGACCCGAGGCCTTGGAAATAATCAGCGTCGATAAACGAGCATCGAGAATGTGTATATAAGCTCTCCGAATTCCCTCGAAACTCAAAGTTATAATCACCATCAAACCTCAGTCTTCAGTCTCTACTTCAGTCTCTACTTCAGTCTCTACTTCAGTCTCTACAGCTCTCTTCAGCTCACTACAAAAATTCTCTACCTCTTCAGGTCCAACTCCCTTACAATATCCAAAATGCAGTTCAGCATTCTCACCATCTTCGCTTTGGCCGCTGTTGCCACTGCTGCCCCTACCGAGGTCGTCGAGGTCCGTACTACTAACACGGGCACGGGCTCCTGCTCCAACAGCCAGCCGAACGAAGTCTGCTGCTCTGCCCTCCTTCTGGATTGCGTCCTAAGCCTAGGCAACACCTGTGGTGGCCAGGCCTACTGCTGCAACAACGATGTTCTCAATGGTAGCGTAAGTGGGACCTATCAAATTGAAACCATTCCTGTTGGAGGAGTTCGTGATTGCTAACTACGTTGAACGCTACCAGGGCGGCCTTATCAACCTCAACCTCAACCTTCTCAACTGCGTTGATATTCTTTAAATGAAATTTAACGAATATATTAAGGACTTGTGGGGAGACAACAGCAAGTGGAGGACTTGAACTAGGGAAGGATGATGAGAGAGACTCCTTGAGGAGTATTTGGTTTTGATTTAATTTGTCACGGCCTGACTACACTCGTTTAGATTTGAAATACTACAATTTTGCCATTCGAAATTGCTCTTCTTTACCTATGAAACCTTTGATCCATCCTGACCCTAGAAATACCCTAGAAATGTCTAGTATAAACCAACTATATCACTCTTGGAGCAATGAGGCCCTGGTTTAGCCCTAACACTTTAAAGGGGCTCATAAACTACCAATTACTAAGACAATTCCGATTTCTCTTTCCCACTAATAAGAAATTGAAGACCAGTCAGCATTTCAAACAAACTTCTTCAACGACTGTATGTAAATATTAAGTACCTAACATGTCGAACAAAAGGATTTTACACCTTTTAAATCACCTCAGTTTCGAGAGTTTGGTTAGTTTATAAGCTAATACCTTTTCTATGATAAACAAAGTTGACGATTTGCTAAAATGAACTCTTAACCTCAGTCGTGTTTTACAAGACACAGTATGGAGAACGGTCGTTGAATACAGCCAAGGCCCAAGAACCGGGTGGCCACATAGAGCTTGCCCCAATGATGTGCCCCATCCTCAGATCCAGATTATTAACACTACTTCATACCTATATTTAAAGTCATATAAATATGCACATTGCCAATAATCTCACAAAGTTTCATATTAAATACCTAGTTTACCCCCGAGTCATGTTTCCAAAACGGCTCTTTTTTTACATTTGTAGGTAGTTGGGATAAGGTTACTTTCGACTCGACTATGTGTGGGCGCATTTGCCGTAGTAATTCTGCGGAGAATAGCGAGTGATTTCCTTTAATCAAATAAATTGTATTCGTGATTCGACAATTATAATTGATCGGGTACCTACCCGGGTGGGGGGGGTTTTAGAACAGAATGATTTTACTTTATTAAAGTTGGATAATACAATAACGTTTTTTAAATATGTTAATAAAGATGTATCATTCTATTTTTAATAAATTATAATATGTATTTAAAAAGTCGCTTGCAAATTGTAAAGTTTTATTTATAAAGATTACTTTTTATTATTAATAATGTTAACTTAAATATATTATAATAATACATCTTTATTATTTTTAAATGATAATAACCAAAAAACATACAATATCCCGTAAAAATAAAAACTTAATTTATCCATATTTTTTATTAATATAATTTATTATTAACATATATATATTTAATAAAAAATTTAAAAGTATATTTAATTAATTTATTTAAGTAAATATAATTAAACGTTAAAATAAAATCCATTTTAAAGTTTTATAAATTTAAATATATTTTATATTAATAAAGTTAATTATTAAGATTTAGTTATTTAATTAAAAGTTTAATTATATTCGCAAGTATATTTATATAATAAAAATATAATAATATACCTCCATTTTATCGCAAAAAAGTGTAATATTTTATAAAATATATTTAAAAGATTTTAAAGTTATAAAAAAAACCTATTTTCACAACAAATATTTATTAATAATATTACAATAATAAAACCAATAATAAAATTATTAAAAACAATATAAAAAGTTAAACTTTATTATTATAAAATCTTTTAATTTTTATAATTATATATTTTATATTTTAATTAAAAAAAAAAATCTTATATAATTTTACAATATATTTTATAACTTATATAATTATCGTTATACAAAATAAGTAATAAACGTAACATTTAATTTTATTAACATATAAAGTAATAAAAAATACAAAACGTAAAAATAATAATATTAATTACATTATAATATTATGCCACATTTTAATTGTAAAACTATATAATAATATTAAAGGTAAAATACTATTAATAAAAATAAATTAATAAATTAAAAAAGCTTTGGAAAAATAGTAAAATATAAAATACTTTTTTATAAATTTATTTTACTACGAAAATTTTATATAATATTAAATACTTTAAATATTAAAAAAATTATTAAATTAATAAACTTTTTATTATATTTGATTTTACCATTAATATTAAATATTTAAAATTAATCGTATCATATTTTATAAAATTAAATAATTAAAACAAAATAAATACTATAAATAATATAACTTAAATATTAGTAAAATCTTAATAATTAAAAAAAATATATAATAATATATTTCCGTAAAATTCGATAATTAAAACAAATATTTATTAAAAATAATTTTATATTTTTATAAAATTAAAAATTAAACGCAAAAATTTAATCTTTAAATTATTTAAAATAAAAGGCGAAATATATTTTATAATATATTTCAATATTGTATAAATATTTAATATAAATTATAAAAAAAGAAAAAAAGTTAATATACTTTTATTTTAAATATTTATATTATTCCCATTTAAACTTTTATAAAGTTAATATTAACCCGGTTTATTTTAATCTTTTACAATTTCCAAGCTAAAAATATTACTATTATTATTATTTTCACCGTGATATTTTATTACAATATTAACTTTACCCGCGTTAAAATTAACAATATCGTTTTAAATATTAAAATTATTAATTTTACGTAAAGCAATATTTCCTCCATTAACGAAGCTTATTTTAATATTAAAAAATTCATTATTATTAACGTTAATTTCTTTTCTTTTTTTACCGTCATTACCTTTAATTTTACCGGCACCAATTTTACCAATATTAATTTTACAAACGTTAATTTTAATAATATTAATTTTACCGTTATTACTTTTATTAATGTTAATTTCACAAGTATTAACTTTAACAATATTAATTTTACCGTTATTACTTTTACTAATATTAATTTTATAAACGTTAATTTTAATAATGTCGATTTTATTAACATTAATTTTACTAACGTTAAAATTATTAATATTAAAATTATTAACGTTAAAATTATTATTGTTAATTTTATTAACATTAACTTTATTAACGTTATTAACTTTACCACTTTTAAAATTATTATTATTAATTTTACTAATATTAAAATTATTATTATTAATTTTACCGGTATTAATTTTATTAACGTTAAAATTATTAATGTTAAAATTATTAAAGTTAAAATTATTAACGTTAAAATCATTGGTATTAAAATCATTAATATTAAAATTACCGGTATTAAAATTATTATTATCGATTTTACTAGCATTAATTTTATTAACGTTATTAATTTTACCATTTTTAAAGTCATTATTATTAATTTTACCAATATTAAAATTATTATTGTTAATTTTACCAGCGTTAATTTTACCAGCGTTAAAATTATTAACATCGATTTTACTAATATTAAAATCATTATTATCAATTTTACTAGCGTTAATTTTACCAACATTAAAATCGTTAACATTAATTTCACAAACATTTGGGTTAAGTTTTACTTTCTTTACCGGGCGGTCCGTATAAATCTTTTTTAAACTTAAACGTTTTATACCTTTGGATTTTACCGTAGCCTTAAGTTTTACCGTAACTTTAGGTTTCATTATAGTTTTAGGTTTTACTATAGCCTTAAACTTTATTATAGTTTTAGGTTTTACTATAGCTTTAAGCTTTACCGTGGTTTTAAACTTTATAATTATTTTTTTTTTATCTATAAAATTTAATTTTTAAACCTTTTCTCGCAAATACTTAAACTTAACGTTTTTTTTTTCTTATTTATTAAAATTCACAATTATTTATTTCACGTTAACAAGGTTTACGTAATTAATAATAACGTTTTTAAAGTAAAAGCCGATTAACGCAATTATATTACGCATCCGTTAAATAAATCTTTTATATTTATTATCGTTTATAAATTTAACAAATACTTTACGCGTTTTTTTTAATAATTATAATTTAACACTTTTATACGTAATAAACGCACCGAAATATTTATATTTATTCATTATTAAATTAAGTCTTTTTTTTTTTTTTTTTTTTCCTTTTTATTTTTTTTAGCCTTTATTAATACAGTTTATAATACTTTTAAAAAATGCGCAATATACAAGGAAATTGTTACGGTAAAACATTTACAAAATTATAAAAGTTAATTATTATTTAAAACGTTTTTACAAAGGATATATTAAATTAAGTTAAAATATAAACTTATAATATTTAATATTTTTACAGCTTTAACAAATTATATGGCGAAAAGGTAAATTTATAAAATCGAAATTTAAAAGGTAAATAATTAATATATAAATAAATAAAAGTAAAAGTTAAAATGTGGATAAAATATAAATAAAAAATATAAATATTAAGTATATTAATTGGTAAAAAAGTGTTTAGATTTTTAATATGCGAAATAAATATAAAAAATGGTAATAATATATAATATTTAATAAATGACATATATAAGTTAAAAAATATCCCGTAATTTAAAATGTTATAATATAAAAGTTAAATATTGTAAAAATATTAAAATAATATTATATTTATTTTGTTTAAAAATGATAAATATAAAGAAAAAGTTTTTTAAAACAACGCCATAAAATTGTTAAAATTTAAAAACGCGATATATTAATTTTATATAAAAACGTAACGTAATAAATAATTAAAATAGTAAAAATAAATGTAAGATTCTTATAAATCAAAGCTAATATATTAATTTTAAAAAGGTTAAAAAATAATTTTAACCGTTATTATAATATTTATTAATTTATTTTTATTTAAAGTTATTAGTATAATATAAAAAGTTTAAATAAAATATTCGTATTATACTTTTTTAATAAACAAATATATTATTACCCCGGTAAAGTTATTTTGTTTTTTGGAAGTAATAAAATATTAAAGTAAAGACGTAACAAACAAAAACTTAAAGGTTTTTTCCTTTTAATACGGGATTTGTAATCATTTTTATTTACATTTACCATTTTAATTATACCAATTTTATTTTTATATTTAATATAAATTATATTATATGATAATTTAACCATTTTTTAATAAAACATTTATTTTACATTAAATTATATCGTGGTTTAATAATATAATAAAACTTTTTTTCCATTTTCTTTTTTTATAAAACGTTAGTAAATTATCTTTTTTATTATTTTAAATAATTTATTAAATAATAATATCTTTACATTTTAAACTATATAAAAGTAAACATTATAAAACATTTTTATAATATTATTATTATATTTATTAATATTTATTAAATA